GACGTCCCACCGTGTCCAGACCAAGTGAGGGACAGGGCGGCCCCAGGGGGCCAGAGGGGAGCGTCCTGCGTGCCGTGCCCTGTGCTCGCCCTCGTGGCGTGTGATGGTCTCTGCCTTCGCTGAGCTCTGCTGAGCCCTGGTTACGAGGAGAAAACCAAGGCTCAGAGAGTGAGTGACTTGCCCAGGTCACACGGCGAGGACAGGGTGCAGGGGGACGGGAGGCACCTCTCGGCCACCCCGCCCCACGGCCACACGTCCCACGGGCGGCACAGCAAGACTCAAAAAGGACGAACGTGACAGGCTAACCGAACGCGGTATTTTACCTGTGACTGACTCAGGGAGCCCAGAGAATAGCTGATCATGCTCAGTTCATTTCTGCCCATTTAGAAATACAGGTATACACACACATTTTTTTACTGATTTCAGAAAGAGGAAGGGTGGGGGGGGAGAGAGAGGAATGTCCAGGAGGAGAGAGAAGCACGTATCGGCCGCCCCCTGCACGCCCCCTTCCGGGGATCAAGCCGGCAACCCAGGCAGGTGCCCCGGCCGGGAACCAAACCACTGAGCCACACCCGCCCGGGTGGGAGGAAGTCTGTCCACGTCGATGTCCAGGGAATCGAAATCGCCCCCAGAGCGAGTGGCGTTGCTTTTAGTGCTTTGTCCTTTCGTGAGCCGAGTTGTAATTATGTCATATCCTCATTTGGGGGGAAAAGAAACAAATTCCGAAAACGAGTGAGGGAGGAACACAGGGCGGCCCAGCGACCGTCATCCCCCCATTCCCATTCGGGCCAGTGGCCTGGTGAGCCTCACACTCACGCGTGCACACGCTCGCACACGGTCCATCACGCGTGCCCATCGTCTCGTGGGCTGTTTTCCTTCGGAAACACAGAGCAAACGTCTTTCCCAATCCACAAACCCGGCGTCGCCAGCCGCCTCCCACGGGCCTCGTGACCTGGCCTCACCGGCGTCCCCGGCGACGGCGCCCTGCACGCCAGGCCCCGCAGTGTCGCCAGGGAGCTGAGGCGCCTCCTCCTTCTGTTTCAGACAAATCTCACAGGAGGATAAGAACTGGGAGACCAACATCCAGGAGCTGCAGAAAAAGGTACGGGGTCCCTGCGCTGCGCCTCACAGGACGGCCTGCATGAGCATCCCTCTCTCTGTGGCCCCTGTCGTACCCGAGACCTAAGTGATGCCCAGGATCCCCCGGGGAAAGCCTTTTCCAGACGCGGGAGGTGTATTTTGTCCACAAATTGATGATGAGAGAGAGTCACGGATCGGCTGCCTCCTGCACGCCCCGCACGGGGGCTCGAGCCCGCAGCAGGGTGCGGGCCCCGATAGGGAACCGGACCCTGGCCCCCCGGTTCGCAGGTGGACGCTCAGCCACTGACGTTCCGTAGCACATTTCCTCACGGCCTCCTGTGCCGTCCACGATGTCCCCGTTCCATCCTGGGAGAAATCCCCGAGGGATTCGGCCCCGGGACGCCGGCCCCACGGCAGGAGTCGGACGACGGCCTTCTTCTCTCCCAGCACAGAATCGCGGACAGGGTCCTGCTGGCCAAGTGCCTAATGGTGCTGGGGTTCGTCATCTGCATGTTCTTCCTCAGCTCATTCGTCCCTGCCGTCCACCTGGACCTGGGTGAGTCCCCTGCGGCTGGCTTTGTGCCCTGGGGCTGGAAGGGGAGGGTCCGCGCTTTTTCCAGCCTTGGCTGGGGTTTCCCAGTGGTTAGAGCGTCGGCCCAGGGACCGAAGGGTCTCGGGTTCGGCTCCCGGTCCAGGGCACACGCCTACCTGGGTTGCAGGTTCCATCCCGGCCGGGGCTTAAAGCCTCGATGGCTACAAAACTGTGTGTGCTTAGCCTGGGACATCAACACTCTGTATTGGGTACCTCATTTCTTTTTTATTTATTTATTTATTTTTTATTTTTTTATTACAAAGGGTATTACATATGTGTCCATTTTTTCCCCGCCCTAGACAGTCCCCTAGTCTCCCCTATCCCCCAGTGTCTTATGTCCATTGGTTATGCTTATATGCATGCATACAAGTC